CCTTGAAATTCATAGCCACAAAGGTTCTGATCAATGACCTTGACTCACAGCATTACACATGACTCATTATCCAGTACCACCTACTCAAGACTTTGGTCACAGTACCTTTCCAACAGGATTATAAGCCAAGGGCATGGAGCTATGTAACAATTTCGGGTGTTGTTTCAATTAATTTATTTATTTAGGTTTGTTTTGGGGTCACAGTAAGCAATGCTCAGGGGTTATTCCTGGCTCTGCACTCAGGAATTACTTCTGACAGTGCTCAGGGCAACTTACGGGGTGCCAGGGATCAAACCTGGGTTGGCCGCTTGCAAGACACTGTACTACCCCATTGCACTATTTCTCTGCTGTACTATCTATTGCTCCAGCATCATTTCTGTATTATCCCAATGCAGTGACTGGCTGTCCTAGCTCTCGGGCCCTGTTTCTGTTAGTTTCTACTTCTGTTGACTTTTCTCTAGGTCAGGAGAGGCTTGGTTTGGTGGCTGTTACACAGGGTGATTCTCTGCCTTTGTGAAATCCCAAGAAATGAATCATACACAGTTTTCAAGCTGTGCCTGGCATTTGTAAGAGCTTTATGAGTGCTAGTCTGTTACTACTCAGCAGAGCATCTGCAGAGGTGGTGTGGTTTATCTGACGTAAGCCTGGTTCATAGGGGCAGTGTGCGTCTGTTAGCAAAGATGGTTGCAGGAATCATTAAGATAAGGGAAAAAAGGTCCCCTTGGAGATTGCATCAGCACAGATCATTGTTGCTTCCTGCAAAGGCAATGGAGTGTCAGATAAGACTTGACTTTGATAGTTCCACTTGTTGCAAAACTTCTCATACTGGGACACATTTTAGGTGGTTGTAAATAGTGTGTTTCCCTAAATTTGAGGAGAAAGTGTTGAAAGTGACCATGAGGAATTTCATCTACAAAAAAGGCCTTTAAAGAATGGGGTTGGGGGGCTCCCAAGCATTGCTCAGAAGCTCCTGGAGCCCACCAATAATTCTTGACCAATTAGGCATGTAATTCAATTCAAGGACCCAGAGATAAGACACTGCTCTGGCCCACCCCGGAGGTGCCTAGGGGCTGGCAGCCCCAGAGGGTGCTGGAACAGAACCCAAGCTAGTAAATATCTTCACCGTACCATCCCCCAGCCCCTACCCCAAAAGCCCCATCTTAGATCTTGACCTGAGCCATAGTATAGCAGTTAAGATACTTGCCTTGCAGACAACCAACTGCTGGTGCACTCCAGAACCCCCAGGAGTGATTCCTGAGCACAGATCCAGGAGTAAGTCCTGAGCATCTACATTGTTCAGCATCCCTGCCTCCATAGTAGCTCACCAAGTGTCGTTGAGAGAATGTGAAGAGTGAGGAAGCCATTTCTTGGGCAGGATGAGAGGAAGAGAGATGTCTTTTCTCTCTGGACTAAAACATCTATTTAAACACAAAAGAGAACAAGCCTGTGTCCTGGAGCCTGAGTCTCTGACGCGAGCATTTCCCAACCACTCCTTTCATCTCGAGGTGCCACAGGCGCTCCTGAGCACCACCCATCATCACGCAGCTCGCACTATTTTATTACTCCCTTTTGCTGAGAAAATCTTTTTTCAGGGGATGTTTGAAGGGTTATGCAGAAGTCCAAAGCTGTGACTTAAACCTAGTGTACCAAGTGTCTGTCCCAGAGAGGGAGGAAAGCCCATGCAGACCTGGGGCTGACAGTTTTGTGTGGAGCGGGTGTGGTTTGAGTTCAGAGCTAGAAAGGGGACTGAGAACCAGAGATCTTGATGCAGAGTGAAGGTCCCTGTCTCTAGGGTCCCTTACCCCACATGTATTTTGCCTCCACTTGCCCTGGTCCTTGTGGACACAGATTTTTGTTCGTACCAACTGCTCTAGGCAGCCCTGAACCTTGAGTAGAAAATGCTTGTGTGTATTGGGGGTGGGGGTAGAGGTTAGGGGCTCTGCTGGGCAGAGAGGCTAGCCAAGCAGAGGGACACCAGGAAGAAAACCAAAGGACAATGGGTCAGATGACTCCTTTGCACTTGTCATCTTGACCCTATTTATGTAAACGGAGGGAGTGGTGGCAGTAGGGGAAAAGACTCCCAACAGTTCTCAGGGGCTCAACTGAGCCAGATGGTTCAATGATCAGGGCCAACAATGATGCCGCGTGGGCAAAGGGTGTATGTGTGTAGGGGGGTGGGATCAGCAGGGTCACCTGTGATGAGGGGTCATGTGATGGCAGGGATCAAAGTTGGGGCCTGGCAAGCATCCCAGCCCTCTGAGCTCTCTCCCCAGCCCCACCCCCCAAGCTTAGGCCTATTGCAAAAGGAAGAGAAAGCAAAGCATGGACTAGGTCAGTCTTACATGTCCAGTTGTGGCACTTGACACTTGACACATATCCTGGCAGACTTGTTTTGGGTCCAAAATAAATCAGTCTGGCCTGTCAGAGTTCCATGAACTGGAACTCAAAAAGTTAATTTGAAATTACTCATGGGGCCGGAGAAATAGCATAATGGGTAGGGTGTTTGTCTTGCAAGCAGTCAATCCCGGTTCAATCCACAGGACCCCATATGCCTACCCCCAGCACCGCTAAGGGTGATCCTTGAGTACAGAGCCAAGAGTAAGCCTGAGTACCACTGGGTGTGGCCTCAAACACAAATCAAAATAACTCAGTCTCCTTCATATTTTTAAAAGATGTACAAAAAATAAAGATTAAAGCATAATTATTTTCACTTAAATGGAACTAGTATGACAAATTAGGAATGACCCAAAGCCCCCGGAAGGCAGGCATAAGTTTTGGGTGCCAAGTGGAGGGAGAGTCTTAGAGGGTCAGAAATGATCCCATTCAGAGAAGCCTGGGGCTTAGTGGCTAAAAGCATCTGCCTTGCCAGTCTGAGGCCTTGAAGCTGACAGCTCCGCTCATGTGCCCTACTTGTGTCCCAGCATCTCTGCTGTCTGGCCACAGCACAGTATGTGGGTCTAGCTCTGGCGCACGGCAAACTGGACAGCCCCGCACCTGAGAGCAGCTGTGGACTCCACAGCGACCCTTGGCGAGCACTAGGACCGGCATGTTGCAGCACCCAAGTGGCACTACTGTGACTCTGGGTTATCACTGCTTCAACAGCAAGGAAAGGAAGGGAATTAAGAGCACTTAATCTTGGGGCTGGAGCAATAGCACAGCAGGTAGGGGGTTTGCCTTGCTTGCAGCCAACCTGGGTTCGATTCCCAGCATCCCATATGGTTGCCCAAGCACCGTCAGAAGTAATTCCTGAGTGCAGAACCAGGAGTAACCCCTGAGCATCGCTGGGTGTGTCCCAAAAAGCATCATCATCATCATCATCATCATCATCATCATCATAATAAATAAAGCAATTAAATTTGTATTCTCCTTCACTTCAGGGTTTTGAAAAGTGTTCCTTGAGAGTCTACAGCAAGTCTAGCTGGCATTCTACTAGTCACGTTTAAGTCAGCCCCAGTAAACTGGTGGGCTGGAGCAATGGTGCCGCGGGGCGGGTGTTTGCCTTGTACGGTCAGAGTTCTATCCCCAGCATCCCATATAGTCTGCCGGGCACTGCCAGGAGTAATTCCCGAGCATATGTGGGATTGGGGTGGGGGTTGGTTGCGTGCAAGGCAGGTGCCCTGCCTGCTGTACCCTCTCGCTGGTTCAATATCTGATCGTGCTTAAACCTTGATATCATTTTAGATTTACTTTTACGTTCCCTTCCCCTTCACTTTGTTGTCATATGAGGAGTCACAGACATGCTGCTCACACACGGGTTGTGGTGCTCTCTGGGTTTGTCTGTCCGGTTGTGGGGCTCCCACACTCAGCCAAGATTTGTGGGCGGTTCTTGCACATGAGCTTGCTGGAGTCCTGCTGATGCCACAGTGGTGCTAGCACCCGCTCTGGCTGCAGTGCTCACTGGGTCCCTGCAGAGCTCACACAGTGCTTGCTGGGGGCTGCTCTTCTGACTCCAGTGCTCACACATCTTTTGTTGGGGCGTTCACTGTGGGGGAAGGGGTATGCAGTTCAGGTGAGGCGTTTGCACATACCCAGCTGAGTGCGAGAGCTAATACACACTATAGTGGTTCTGACCTGGTGGTCCAAGTGCCCTCGCTCATGGGCTGGCACTGGGGCTGACCTTGTGGCCTCATACTTGCAAAGCAGCCACTTCTGCCACGAAGCCTCTCCCCCCTCCATACCGAGTTTGGGAGGGGCCTCCCAAGACGTGCTCAGGAGACTTGGGGAGTCCCACCCACCAGAAGATTCCGTGTCAGGCCCCAAGGATGTCCAGCCGCTTGGGTGCCACACAGTCACGGGCCTCCAGGGACACCCTATTTCCTGTGGGGCTAAGAACAGCTGCTCAAGCGTTTCCCAGAGTGACCCCAAAGATACCCATGGGCGAAGGGGTTCAAACCTTGCTCAGGCACCTGAGAAATACAGCCCTAAGCCTCGGACGGCCTCTCCACACTCCACCCCCCGCACTTGCAGGGGCGAACGAGTCTTCTGGCCCTTGGAGTCCACCGAGAGGAAGAAACAAACGGCGTCAGTGATGCCCACGCCCTGAAACGTGCAGTTCGGCGAGACAAATCTCTGCTCGGTGCTGGCGCTTCCCAGACAGGTAACTCGGCCAGGACCAAACATTTCCTCCTCTGGCACCCTTGGACGGAATCCTCCCTCCCCAATTAGACAGAGTCCCGCAGGGCCCAGAACTTTCCGCTGGCGTGTGGGTCTCCTTGGTGATGCGCGGCCGCCGGGGCGAACCCAGGTGTGAGCGCGGGCCCAGCACCTGCCACGGGGACCAGCTCGGAACGCGAAACCCGCGCAGAACCTGCCGGGGCGTCCCCGCTCCGCCGCGCCGGGAACCTGCAGGCCGGCCAGGGGTGCCGGCCAGGGACCCCCGCCTGCCCAGGGACGCGGGCGCTGCACCCTCCAGGGCTCCCGCGGGACCCACTTCCGCGGCTGCTACAGCGGCATCCTCGGGGCATGACTCAGGTGCCAGGAGTGCGCCGGCCTCTGAGCTCATGCAGCCCTACAGCATCCCGGTGCAGATCACCCTGCAGGGCAGCCGGAGGCGCCCCGGGAGGTAAGTCCCCCCGAGGCTCGTGGCCGAACAAGGGGTCAGAGACGGGTGGGCCACCGTGAGTCCGGGACCGGGCTGGGTCTTGACCTCGGGGGGCTCAGCTCCCAGGCCTCCTGTAGCGGCACGTGCCCTTTCTGGCTGGCTTCCTCCTCTAGGTGGCAGTTCTTCCCGGCCCACGACCCTTTAAGATCCACTTTGGGGGGAAGCTGGAGAGCTGGGACAGGGGTTGGAGTGGTCATCTTGCAAATGGCAGGCCTGACTGACTCCTCTAACACTGCGCAACGCTCCCCCAAGCATCACCAGGAGTGACTCCTAATCAGAGGCACGAGTAAACCCTGAGCACCAGGCCCCCAGTCTGAAGCCCCAAAGCCTCATCTTTGCTCCTAGCACTGGGCCATGCCCATCTCCCTCTGGCTCCCCAAGGTGATGCTCAAGGAATAGCTGTTGGCTGAACAGTACAATGAGGACATGACCGCCAGGATGGGCCCATTGGGTGAAGCCTGCTCTGACCTCAGGATAAACTAATCCTAGTGAGGTCTCCTCTCGCTGCCTCATGCCTGTGTCTGTGAACCGGGCTTGGCCCTAAGGACCGCTCCATCTGTGCTCTCCAGACCATGCCGTAGACTCTCCTTGGCTCGTTACAGCCATTGTCGTTAACCACCCACTTGCACTTCTTCAAGGGGAAGTGAGAGTTTGTTTCCTCGGGGTAAAGCAAAACAGAGACCCCGACCTGAATCTGCACTTCTGCCCCCCTCCCTGCCCCCCCTTCCTTCTCTTGAGGGCAGTTGTCAGATGTGGGCACGGGACAGCAGAGAGAAGAGCAGTGCCTGCCAATGGTGAGGGAGGAAGCAGTCAAAGCGGGGCAGTTAACGCACCCTGTGTGGGTGCTGGGGAAGTGGAAAGGGGAAGTAAGACCACCCAGTCAGCACATCACAGAGAAGGAAGGGGAGAGAGTGACCCCTGGGCGGAGGAGCACGGGAAGGAAAAGGAACCAAGCGCCGAGACGAAACACTTACTCCTAGAAATGAATGCATGTCTTTGTGGAAACAAAACTCCTAGAAATGAGTTCATTTCTTCATGAAATGGCCAACTCACCCTATGGCAGAGGACCAAATATCGAATATGGGAGGGAACATGTTTTAGGGCCTTGATGCCTGAATCATGACCCAGTTGCCTTGATGTCAGACCAGTCTTCTTGTCCCCAAAGCAATACAGGATCCCATTTTCATTCCTGAAACGCACAATTGGATAATTGTGCTTTCCTCTTGCCAAGCTTGATGAACTATGTTGACTTTACTCAACGTCATTTGGTGTTTCAAAAGAAGTGGTGAAATAATGTAATTAAAAAATAGAGGGTGAAAAAGAATGACCCACATCTCCTCTGTAACACAAACCAATTACAGGGGAAGAGTAATTTAACATGTTTAATATTAAACTAATAGAAAATATTAAAAATGTACATACACATGGGCAATGATTGTCGGATGCGTGATCAAAGTTGGATGAGCTCCCGCTTCTTCCTGAGAAAGCTTTCTTGCACAAGTTCCAGTGGAGAGAGAAGCTGCTTTGGCAAGGATTGTGCTCAGATAAGCATGTTCAAGCTCTTTAAGACTGAGTTTGCCTCTGGCTAACCTAGCAGGAGTCTGCCACAATTTGTGGTCGTCAAGGCTAGCGGGGATTCCAGGGGAGTAACAGAGGGGAGAGGTGTCCGACTATGAACAAAATAGTTAGAAGTGAAAATGCATTATTAGCAGCAACAACAAAAAATCATTCACAGCCAGGGAAATGCGGAAATGGTTAATGTACATGCTTGCCACGTGGGAGCCTGGGATTCAATCCCCAGGATTGCATGTTTTCCCCGTCCGCATCCCAGAACCCCTGGATGTGCTTCTTACCCCAACAACATGCCCGATCACCACCAGGGATGGGTCAAAGACCCCCTTCATCCCCCCAAAAGATTTTACACTCATGCTACCATCTAGAGAGAAAAATTATATGACTCTTAAGTGCTTTGAGGTCTTTGGATGAAAGGGGTTTGCCGATACCACAACGTTAATTACAGGACTGTTTATGGTTCCAGAAACCTGGAAACGGTTAAGGAAATTACAACATGTTCAATTGACGGAATATTACGTAACTGATAGAAGAGTTGCAGAGAATCATTAGTGAGTGGGAAAATGCTTATTCTATGAAGTGAAAAAACAACACAGAGACACAAACCCTCTCAACATTGTCCAGTGTGAGTTCATTCCGTTTAAAACAATATAGGAGATGGGAAATAATCCAGTAAGTGAACAGTAATTATCTCTAAGTGGTATAATTGTGGGGGAATTTGTTCTCTTCTTTAGACTTTTTCATATTTCCCAAGATTCATAAAATGAGCATAGAAAAATACATTGCTTTCACAAATCCTTTGAAATTTGTTGAGGCTTATTTCATGGCTCAGTGTGTGGCTGGGTCTCATAATGTTCCATGTACATGTGAGGGAAAATGTTTAAAAAATGGGGTGTTTGTGTGAGGTGCTGAGGATCCTAGGATTCTGCCTGTGAAAGACATGCTGTCTACCACTGAGCTACAGTTCTGACCAAGAATATAATTTGTCTGGGTGAATTATCAATTTCTGCAAGTCTGAAAAATATTTATTTCAAAAGCAAACAGTGGATCTCCCTGTGCTTCCAGTTATAAGGCAATGCCACTCAGTACATATTAATCAGCATTTCCTCTCTCCTAGGTGAATAGAACAGTTTAAAAAAAAATCTCCCTGCACTCCGGCTCCTTTGCTGTGGTGACCAGAGATCCTGGGTGGTGCTGCTCATTCACTTTCACTGGTGCTGCTTGCTGAGGGTCGACTGCTTCAGTTGCGGAGCTTCTTTGCGCATGCTTGGCTGTGTGGTGCTCCAGACACCATCCACTTTGTGGTGGCTTTGGGAGTTCCAAGGGGGGTGCTGCTGAGAAGTGGGGTGATGCTGGAGATCAAATTCACAGCCTATATTTTCGAGGCGGCCACTTTCACCACTAAGCTATTCCTGGTCCTCATGAGTTAAGTGTTTAATCAGTGTTATGACCTTTACTTTTCCTGTGGTGTGTGTCATGGGGCGGAGGGGCAGGGGGAGGACATTCAGGGCTTACTACTGGCTCTGTGGCAATTAGGGATCACTCATGGTGGTGCTTGGGAGACCATATGTGGTACTGGGGATCGAGCCAGGGTCAGCGACATCAAGGCAAGTCCCCTTAATCCTTGTACTACTTCTTTGACTCCTATTAAATTAAAAAACATATTTGGGGGTGGGAAGGTCTATTAGGCACACCTGGAGGTTCTCAGGGCTTACTCCTAGATCTTTGTTCAGAGATCACTCCGGGAAGTGCTCAGGGGACCACTTGTGGTGTTGGGATCAAACCAGGGTAGACTGCATACAAGGCAAGATACCTACCTGCTGTACGATTGCTCCAACCTGGCCCTTTCATTTTTAATTTATTTTTTTACTGAGCCCGGCAAGCTACTGAGAGTATCTCGCCCGAACGGCAGAGCCTGGCAAGCTCCCCGTGACGTATTCGATATGCCAGACACAGTAACAACAAAGTCTCCAATGGAGACGTTACTGGGCCCGCTCGAGCAAATCGATGAACAACGGGAGGGCCTTTACCTTTACCTTTACCTTATAAATAAAAATATTCATGTAAACCTTTTTAATTCTTCAAATTTCAGAGAATGAACAGATAATATCATGATCCCAATATTTTCTGAGTGAAGAAAATAAAATACATTATGACCTAAAATTCCAGTACTAGCACTCTAGAATAGCCCTTACTTTTAATAAAGCTTTAGTCTCACATCAGCCAGGGTCTGAGAGATAGTGTAGAGTGGAAGGTACTTGTCTTGCACACGGCTGATATGGGTTCAATCCCTAGCACTGCATGCAGTCCCCCGAATCCCAGCGGGTATGATCCCTGAATACAGAGCCAAGAGTAAGCCCTGACCACAATGAGGTGTGGTCCAAAAAGTTTTGCATCAGCTCACTTTCCCTTATAAATTCCCTGACAAATTTTAGGCTTTTATATAAAAATATTTATAAATACGTATATATGTTTTAGAATTATTTTAATAATACACATTCATTATAAATACACATATAATTAAATTTAGCCTTCTGAGTCATTTAATTTAGATTTATTTTGTAATTTCTTTTATGCTTGGATTTTATTATATATCACGGTCACGGTCCTCCCGTTGTTCGTCGATTTACTCGAGTGGACCCAGTAACATCTCCATCGTGAGACTTGTTGTTACTGTGTTTGGCATATTGAATACATCACGGGGAGCTTGCCAGGTTCTGCTGTGCGGGTGAGATACTCTCGGTAGCTTGCCGGCTCTCCGAGAGGGGCGGAGGAATTGAACTCGGTTCGGCCATGTTGGCTGCATGCAAGGCAAATGCCCTACCACTGTCCTATCACTCCAGCCCGTATTATTATATATATTTACACTAAAAAAAGGGAGGTATTTGGGCCCCACCCAGCAGTGCAGTGCTCAAGGATCACTCCTGGTGGGCTGCAGGAACCATACGGAGTGTTAGGGATCCAACCCAAGTTGGCCACATGCAAGGCAAATGCCCTATCCACTATGCTCATCACTTTGGCTCCTGCGTGTTCCATTTCCTCCTTTTGTTGCCGTTTTTGTTGTGATGATGAAGGTTTGCAGTGCTATCTTTTTTTTTTTGCCTTTTTTGCTTTTTGGGTCAACCCAGCGATGCTCAGGGGTTACTCCTGGCTCTGCACTCAGGATTTACTCCTGGCAGTGCTCGGGGAACCCTATGGGATGCTGGGAATCGAACCCGGGTCGGCCACGTGCAAGGCAAACGCCCTACCTGCTGTGCTATCGTATTTTTATGCTTTGTATTTGTCTTTTTACCCCCCTGAGTTTATTTTTCTTGCACTCTCTTAGATTGATTTTCTTTGTCTCTTCTACTCATCTGGAAGTGACAGTAAAAATTTGTACTCACATGCTG